TAGCTTTTGAGACTGGATGAACTGGATGCTGTAAGGGTAACTATAACAAACTATAAAAACTATAATTTTTATTATTTGGTTAAATATGTAAACTAAATTTCATTTGTAGGAAATATATACAGAATTATCTTAATATTGCATGTGTATGTATTTGTAATACAGATAATTTATAGTAACTTTTGGTTACTGATTTATTGTTCATTCTAGAAACATCTGTTGGACAACACTGTGTGTTCGGGGCACTGTGCTAAGAGCAAGGGGAGGTTGGTGGGGGCACAAAGAGGAACAAGACTTGGTTCCTGCCTTTGAGGAGCTTTCGGGCTAGTGGAGTGGATGGATATACACTTATGTGACCAACACTTGATAGAGGTACCTAGAAAGTGGAGGAGAATAAAAGAAGTAGTGAGTATTCTGCTCCAGGAAACCTGCCCAGAGAGGTACTCCTAGGAGTCAGTATTTAAGTGATGTGCAGAGGGGTTGTTGGGGGCAGGGAAGGGTGGAGACTAGAAAAGAGTTTGTTGTGGAAAGGAAGAAGGCAAAGGTTTAAAGTAGGAGGTGATCAATGAGTAGGGAAGAAAACTGTGAAGTGCCAGTAGTTTTGGCATTTTACGAGCCACCGTGGTGAGGGTGGTTCTAGTGGAGCGAAGAGTGCAGAATCCAGAGTGGGGGGGGTTTGAGGAATGAGCAAGAAGAAAATGGAGGGAGTGTAGGGCAGCTTGTTTTAAGAAGTTCATTGGAGAGGGGCACCACTGACAGTGGCTCTGTCAGCTGAGCATCTGACTCTTGGTTTCGGCTCAGGTGGTGATTTATTCGGGGTTGTGGGATTGAGCCCTGTGTTGGGCTCTGTGCTCAGAACACCCTCTCCCTCTGCTCTTCCCCCTGCTCTCTCTCTCTCTTTCTCTCAAATAAATAAAATCTTTTAAAAAAAAGTTTGCTGGAGAAGAGGCAGAGTTTGAGGGAGGAGCAAATCCATGGAAAGGGTGTGCATGGATTGCAGGATATTTAAACCTTCTTAAAGTAGAGGAGAGTTGAGCTTGGTGGGTTGAGAAGGAATTTTAAAAGATGAGGTTGAAATGAAAGAAAAAAGGGATAATAGTCTATAGGTCTGAGTCTGAGAGAAAGTAGGAGAGGATATAGAATATAAATAATGCTATAAATAATGCTATATAAATAATGCTATACCCTACCTTCATTTTGTTTTGTTTGTATCTCCACTCTTTGTTCTTCTGGAACCCTAGAGAACAATGTTATGCTCACTGCAGACTGGAGACACAATAGACATAAAATCAGTAGTGTAATTCTCAACAAGTGTCCACTGTTACATTCAGTATGAGCAGGCGAGTTCAGGAAGAGTGGGTTAGATACTGCCTAGGAGTTATGGAATTATTGAGGTTATGTAGAGAAAACATGCTGAAGAAGATGGATGCAGAGTTTCTATTTGAGAATTTGTGTTTATTCAGGTAGATGATTGGGAAGGAAGTTTGTTTCCTAGATCTGTGGAGCCATTTGGGCAAAATGGCTCCTGCCTTCAAGGGGACAGGTATGCTCGTGAATAGTGAGATGAGAGACCCTTTGAGGAGGAAAGAGGAACTATTGAAGGGATTTTGAAGGCTTGCTTAGTCTTTATTTACTTTTTGGTTCAGAGAATAACAGCTGCAAAGTATTAGATTGACATGGTCAAAGTATTAATTGTTAAATTGTTTATGGAATGCTGTGAAGCAAGCGGAACCCGGGAGGCTAAATGGTATTCGTCTCCCTCCAGCCTGGAGGCCTTCGGGAAGGTTTGGGGCTGAAGACAGGAATGCCACACGGGACTTCTTCAGGTCTGGCCTTGGCCAAAGTCTCCTGCCTCCTCTGTCCCAAGTTCACTCTGCTTTTAATGATAGCAGACTACTTACAGTTTTTGGAACATACCATGCTCTCTACCCTTCCACCAGTTGTTTTATCTGATTATTCCCCTAATCAACTTTTCCCTTTTCCTTAAAAACTCACTAATCCTCATTTCCTTTCTGAAACTTTCCCGGATGCCCCAGTGTGGTCAGTCCTTTCTTTGTGCTGTCTCTCTACCTTGGGCGCATGTTCTCACAGTGGTTATCATGGCTGGTTTGGGTGTTTGTCTCCCCTACAACTTTTGAGCTCCTTGAGGGCAGAAGCAGAGCCTTTCATCTTTGAGGTCCAGCCCCTCGCAGGAGACTTGGCATATAGTAGAACATCAAAAATATTTGTTGAAATGAATTGAGTTGAATTGTCATATTTAAACAGTCTTCAAAAACTGTACTTCGTTGATTCTATCAGTTTGTACAACAACTAAGACAGCTGATAGATGCAATTAAGAGACATTATTTGATACTCTCATAAGCATACTGGATATGTTCAGAAATAGCATGTGGTCTCTTATGTTAATATCTAATTGTGTATATACTTGAGTATGTTGACACAAAGTTGCAAAAATTTTTTTGTCGTTCTAGCTAGTAGAAGCTCATTATTGCAATATTTGCCATCCATCACAGACCTAACATAGCTATCATTTTTGTTCCAAATGATTATTTCCAAGGGGGTCTAAGTGATTATACTTAATGGTTAAATTACTTAATTTCACAGTCCCCAAATGCATCTACTCATCCAGATATTTCTGTTTTACTTGTCTTTTTCTCTTAACCTTTCATGATGGTTTTTTTTTTTACCTTTCCTGTCCCTTAGTTGGGGCGTACCTCTCAGTTTTCAAGAAATTAAAGCACTTGGAGCACGCCAGCTGTTAGGCTTTCCCCTGCCTCACACTGGGAGCATTTATTGTTTGTTTTTTTCCTGTGCCAGTCTCCGGCTGATGCATATGCATCTGACTGCCAGTATTTTTGGTCTGTGGTTTCTTGGTGTTAGATGGAAAAAGAGGCTGGAGGGGTTGGGAGTCTGGATCTTGAGTTTGTCACCTTTTACTTAATCTTCCTGTTTTCAGTGGAGCCCCTGCACTTCATTTCCCAGCTATGTGTAGGATCCCTGAGTCCAGAGTTCTTCCAATTCCATGGTTCTAACCTCATCTGCACATCAGGACCACCTTTGGAGATTTCAAAACTGCTCACAACTAGCCACACCCTATACCAATGAAAATTCAGATCAGAAACTCAGGGAAGGCTCCTAGAAGTCGTTTTTTTTGTTGTTGTTGTGCTTTTTAAGTTCTCCAGGTAATTACAATGTGTGGTCAGTAGGTAGGGGAATTGTTGCTTTGATGGTTCCTTCTATTAATCTGGCTCCTCCTTACATATTGGACCTCCACCCCCACCCCCTTCACCTGCCTCACCATGTCAGCTACTGTGCTGTTCATGCTTGGATTTTGCTTCCACCTCAGGGCCTGTGCACCCACCTGTATCAGTCTGGAATGTTCTGTCCCTGGATGTGTGCATGGCTCCTCTTTCTTTCTTTCTTTCTCTTTCTCTTTCTTTTCTTTTCTTTTCTTTTTTTCTTTTTTTTTCTTTCTTTCCCTTCCCTCCCCTCTCCTCCCCTCCCCTTCCCTCTCTCTCTTTCTCCCCCCACCTCTTTCCCCCTATTCCCCCCCTTCTCTTAGATTTCTGCTCTGTAGCAAGAACCACACTGCATTCCTGTCCTCTGCCCTTGCTCCATACCAGTCATCACATCTGATCTGTCACTAATGCACTTGCTCATTGCCCCCCCCCTTAGAATGGGGGCTCCATGGGGGCAGGCCTTAGCCTTTTTTCCTCAGATTTTTGGGACTCTAGGACAGAGCCTGGCACAGAGTAGCTGCCTGCTACCAGTTGAATTAATTTCTCTGGAGAAGTCAGAGAAATTTTGCTGGTGTTGGAGGGAGGGTCCATTATGTGAGAGTGTTGCGTTGGGCAGCAGATCTAGGGAGTCTGAGATTTGTTCAGCATCTTTTCTTTTTGCAGCCCTCCCTGCACCCCCTCTTCAGAGATACCTGTGCCTCATTCCTGTGCCTTTCTTCTGGGCTGCCCCTCTAAGGTTCATATTCCCAGGGCTGCCGGGTCAGCTCTCCCATCCCCCCTCCCCGGCTCTCCCCTTCCCCCCATTTGGCTGCTGTCATCTCTTCTCTTTGTCCGTATGGACTCATACTTAAATGTCTTTAACAGTTATTTTAGTGAGAGTTCAGGAGGGAGCAGAGGTAACATTTGCATTCAACCTACTCTGTTTAACCAGAAAGTGGGCCCTTTGTTAATTCCTACAAATCCACTTACAGGTTAATTTCTTCCACAAATTTATTGAGTATCACCTCTGTGCCAGGCATATATGAATGAAATATACAGTTCCTGCTCTCACTGAGGTTGTGTCCTAGGGTTAGGAAGTGGTGAATTCAGATGAAAAGAGGAGTTCTTTTTACTGTTCTTATAACATTTCTCTAAGTTTGAAATTATTTAAAAATAAAGATTTTTGAAAAATGTGTCCTGCAGGGACTAAATTATAAAGAGCCTCCTATGCCATGTCAGAGATCCTGAAGGCTTTGGGAACCATGGAAGGTTTTGAGCGGGGGAGTGCCACGGTAAGTTTTAGAATTTAGAAAGATTAACTCTTGAGTGCCAGCTAGGATGGATGGGTGTGAGGCGTGCAAGACTGGAGGAAGGGAGAGCGGGCAGGAGGCTTTGCTGTAATCCAGAAATGATGAAGGCCTGAGAGGAGACACTGAAGATGGAGAAAAGCAGCTTTTCCCATAATTCCCACTTTATCAGTTTCCCTTGGAGGTAAAGCTGTTTCTGTGGTAACATAACCACCAATATGCCATTATTAAGGAAAGTAAGCTTGTTCTTATAGACTAAGTGTCTCTTGTGGTTGTACCCAGAGGCGAAGTACTAGGATTTATGTCAAAATTGATGCTGCAGTATACAAAAAGACCCATTAGAAAATAACACGAGGCCCGCCAGCCCGCCCTCCCCCCTGGCTGGCTTGGCTCCTCCGCGCTGCTTGGGGTCCTTTCCTCCCTCTCCCCGCCTGCCAGCCCCCGCCGCGCTGTGCCCTGCCCGACCAGGCCTGGGGCCGATACCACCGCCATCATGCTGGCCATCTCCAAGGGCGATGGGATGCGGGGGCTCACGGTGTTCATCTCCGACATCCGGAGCTGTAAGAGCAAAGAGGCAGAGATTAAGAGAATCAACAAGGAACTGGCCAATATCTGCTCTAAGTTCAAAGGGGACAAAGCCTTGAATGGCTACAGTAAGAAAAAATATGTGTGTAAACTGCTGTTCATCTTCCTGCTTGGCCATGACATTGACTTTGGGCACATGGAGGCCGTGAACCTGCTCAGCTCCAACAAGTACATGGAGAAGCAGATAGGTTACCTCTTCATCTCGGTTCTGGTGAACTCAAACTCCGAACTGATCTGGCTCATCAGCAATGCCATCAAGAACGACCTGGCCAGCCGCAACCCTACCTTCATGTGCCTGGCCCTCCACTGCATCGCCAATGTGGGCAGCCGTGAGATGGGCGAGGCCTTTGCCGCTGACATCCCATGCATCCTGGTGGCTGGGGACAGCATGGACAGCGTGAAACAGAGCGCGGCCCTGTGCCTACTATGGCTGTACAAGGCCTCACCCGACTTAGTGCCCATGGGCGAGTGGACGGCCCCAGGTGGTGCACCTGCTCAACGACCAGCACGTGGGTGTGGTCACAGCCGCTGTCAGTCTCATCACCTGTCTCTGCAAGAAGAACCCAGACGACTTCAAGACGTGCATCTCCCTGGCTGTGTCTCACCTGAGCTGGATTGTCTCCTCGGCCTCCACCGACCTCCAGGACTACACCTACTACTTCGTCCCGGCACCCTGGCTCTCGGTGAAACTCCTGCAACTGTTACAGTGCTACCCACCCTCAGAGGATGCTGCCGTGAAGGGGCGGCTGGTGGAGTGTCTGGAGACCGTGCTCAACAAGGTCCAGGAGCCCCCCAAGTCCAAGAAGGTCCAGCACTCCAACGCCAAGAATGCCATCCTCTTCGAGACCATCAGCTTCATCATCCACTAGGACAGTGAGCCCAACCTCCTGGTGCGGGCCTGTAACCAGCTGGGCCAGTTCCTGCAGCACCGGGAGACCAACCTGCGCTACCTGGCCCTGGAGAGCATGTGCACACTGGCCAGCTCCGAGTTCTTCCACGAGGTGGTCAAGACCTACATCGACACTGTCATCAATGCCCTCAAGACGGAGCGGGACGTCAGTATGCGACAGCGGGCCACTGACCTCCTCTGTGCCATGTGTGATTGGAGCAACGCCAAGCAGATCATGTCAGAAATGCTTCGGTACCTGGAGACGGCTGACTACGCCATCCGTGAAGAGATTGTCCTGAAGGTGGCCATCCTGGCCGAGAAGTACGCAGTAGACTATAGCTGGTATGTGGACACCATCTTCAACCTCATCCGCATTGCGGGCGACTACGTGAGTGAGGAGGTGTGGTACCGTGTGCTGTAGATCGTCACCAACCGTGATGACGTCCAGGGCTACGCTGCCAGAACCATCTTTGAGGCGCTCCGGGCCCCCGCCTGCCATGAGAACATGGTGAAGGTCGGCGGCTACATCCTCGGGGAGTTTGGGAATCTGATTGCTGGGGACCCCCGCTCCAGCCCTCCGGTGCAGTTCTCTCTGCTGCACTCCAGGTTCCACCTGTGCAGCGTGGCCACCTGGGCCCTGCTGCTCTCCACCTACATAAAGTTCATCAGCCTCTTCCCGGAGACCAAGGCCACCATCCAGGGCGTGCTGCGGGCCGGCTCCCAGCTGTGCAGTGCTGATGTGGAGCTTCAGCAGCACGTGGTCGAGTACCTCACGCTCAGCTCAGTGGCCAGCACGGATGTCCTGGCACAGTGCTGGAGGAGATGCCGCCCTTCCTGGAGCGAGAGTCATCCATCCTGGCCAAGCTGAAACGCAAGAAGGGGCCCGGGGCTGGCAGCGCCCTGGATGATGGCTGGAGGGACCCCAGCAGCAATGACATCAATGGGGGCATGGAGCCGACCCCTAGCACTGTGTCGACGCCCTCGCCCTCTGCCAACCTCCTGGGGCTGCGGGCAGCCCCTCCCCCAGCTGCATCCCCAGCGACCTCAGGTGCAGGGAACCTCCTGGTGGATGTTTTCTCTGACGGCCTGGCTGCCCAGCCCAGCCTGGGGCCCACTCCCGAGGAGGCCTTCCTCAGCCCAGGTCCTGAGGACATCCGGCCACCCATCCCAGAAGCCGATGAGCTGCTGAATAAGTTCGTGTGTAAGAATAATGGGGTCCTGTTTGAGAACCAGCTGTTGCAGATTGGAGTCAAGTCGGAGTTCCGGCAGAACTTGGGCCACCTGTATCTCCTCTATGGCCACAAGATGTCCGTGCAGTTCCGGAACTTCTCACCCACTATCGTCCACCCTGGAGACCTTCAGACTCAGCTGGCAGTGCAGACCAAGCGCGTGGCCGCACAGGTGGACGGCGGGGCGCAGGTGCAGCAGGTGCTCAACATCGAGTGTCTGCGGGACTTCCTGACACCCCTGCTCCTGTCCGTGCACTTCCGGTATGGGGGCGCCCCCCAGTCCCTCACCCTGAAGCTCCCGGTGACCATCAACAAGTTCTTCCAGCCCACGGAGATGGCGGCCCAGGATTTCTTCCAGCGTTGGAAGCAGCTGAGCCTCCCCTAACAGGAGATGCAGAAAATCTTCAAAGACAACCACCCCACGGATGCAGAAGTCACTAAGGCAAAACTCCTGGGGTTTGGCTCTGCTCTTCTGGACAATGTGGACCCCAACCCTGAGAACTTTGTGGGGGCTGGAATCATCCAGACTAAAGCCCTGCAGGTGGGCTGTCTGTTCCGGCTGGAGCCCAATGCCCAGGCTCAGATGTACTGGCTGACCCTGCGCACTAGCAAGGAACCCGTCTCCCGTCACCTGTGTGAGCTGCTGGCCCAGCATTTCTGAGCCCTGGACTCTGCCCCCCGGGGATGTGGCCGGCGCCGGGCAGCCCCTAGGACTGAGGCAGCTTTGGTGGATGGGGCAGCGAGGGGACTTCCACTGGTGACAGGGAAGACCCCAGGGGTGGGGGGATGCCTGGAACCTTCCTCCAGCCTTTTGTATTTTTATTTTTGTTCATCTGCTGCTGTTTACATTCTGGGGGGTAGGGGGGAGCCCCCCCCTTAAGCACAGAGGGGAGAGGGGCCAGGGAAGTGGGTGCCTCCTCCCCTCCCACCCCACCCCATCATAGCCCCTCTTGCTCCCTCCCCATCCAGGGGCTGTGTATTATTGTGAGCAAATAAACAGAGAGACGCTAAAATAAATAAATAAATAAATAAAATAACACGAATTATTACTGTTGAGGGGGCAACTCCGTGTGCTCTCATTCTGAGACATTACCCAGAATGGAACTCAACTGGTCTGGTGGATAAAATGTTAAAATTTGTACTAATAAATTTCTTTATAGTTACCTCAGCCATGAATTTTCTATCTTACTGGGTTGCATATTTTTATTTCACTGGACAGCTTTGGCTCGCTCCTGTTGCTATGGAGAGTCCATTCCTGCTGTGCTAATAAGCACCTTAAGCATTATCTATATATTTGCTTTAGTGGAAGGGTATTTCTACCATTTTTACTTCAAGTTTTTTCTCTTTTAACAAAAGGACCTTTGGCTAATTGAATGTTTTTAAATTTACATTGACTTCTGTCCCTCGTGTGAGTATTGTTCTCTGTGCTTACTCTTACGGGAACTCTGTCCAGAGAAACTGCAGTCTAGAAAAATCCCCACTCTTTCTCTACAGTTTAGCAGGTAATTGAGGAGAATTGCAGAAGTGGTCATTTCACTGCATAGATGATAGGTTCCCAGCACTGAACTAAGTGCAGGCAATTTCTCTGATCTGCATGGGGGCAGGGATCATGGCTTAATTAATCTTGATATTCCCTTGAAGTCACCACAGTTCAGTTTGCTTGATAACTGTTGAACTGAGCAGAGGATGTGAGAGAAGTAGAAGGTTTTGTTCTGGGAGTCACATTCAGAGCTGCATGGGACTTTGAGGCAACTTCATTCAGTACATGCCTGTGTGTGTTGAGTAAATATGGTAACACCAATTTTTACTTGCAGATTTGGGACAAATCAAGTGATTAAAAACATTTTTTAAAAATTGTGGTAAAAACACACAACATGGAAGTTACCATCTTAACATTTTCAAGTGTGTAGTTGAGTAGTGTTAAATGTATTTATATTGTGATGAAACAGATCTCTAGAACTTTTTTGTCTTGCCCATCTGAAACTTTATACTCATTAAAAAAATACTTTCCTTTTCCCCCTTTCTCCAGCCCCTGGTAACCACAGTTCTTCCTTCTGTTTCTATGAACCTGACTACCTTGATACTCATATAAGAAGGATTGTACAGTATTTGTCTTTTGGTGGCTGGCTTATTTCACTTAACATCCTCACGGTTCATCCACACAACATGTGACAGATTTCCTTCCTTTTTAAGAGGGACTAATATTCCATTATGTGTATACATCACATTTTATATATCCATTCATTTCTCATGAACTTGGGCATGCAAATATTTCTTCAAGATTCTGCTTTCAGTTCTTTTGGATATATACCCAGCAGTGGGATTGCTGGATCAGATGGTAGTTCTATTTTTAATTTTTTGGGGAACCTCTTTACCATTTTCCATAGCAGTCAAAACATTTTACAATCCCACCAACAGAGCACAGGGGTTCCAATTTCTCCACATCCTCGCCAACACTAAATATTTTTATGTTAAAACAAATGCACTACGGTGCTGAATCTTACATCTTGAGTGAATTTTAAAGGGAAAACAGAAGACTTCAAGTAAATTTTGATTTTGTGGTAGATCCTCTGACAAAGAGAGTCCTTTGGTGGAAGCATTTGAGAAGCCCTGAATTATAAAAGGAGTCTTCAGGATGATGCAGTTGAGAAGAATTCATGCACATACGTGAAGATGACCATCTTCCCAAAGCAGCATGTTACAAAGTGTACAACTTTATTTATTTGAGAGAGAGAGAGAGAGAAAGTACAAGTGGGTGGGGTGGGGGGAAGGGAGAAGCAGGCTTCCCGCTGAGCAGGGAGCCCGATGTGGGGGTCGGGGGAGGGGAACCGGAGCTGAAGGCAGATGCTTAAGGGTCTGAACCACCCAGGCCCCCCTACAACTTGATCTTGAAACACTTAGTACCATAGGCATTTAGTAAGGGAGTGAAGACTTCCTGAAAGTGATACATTTTGAAAGGGAGCTTGAAGGAGGATGGTAAATGTGAATCTGACAGCAAGAAGAATATGCATTAATGTAATGAAAAATGTGATCTCGGGCGCCTGGGTGGCTCAGCCGTTAAGCGTCTGCCTTCAGCTCAGGTCATGATCCCAGGGTCCTGGGATCGAGCCCCGCATCGGGCTCCCTGCCTGGCGGGGGGCCTCCTTCTCCCTCTCCCGCTCCCCCTGCTTGTGTTCCCTCTCTTGCTGTGTCTCTCTCTGTCAAATAAATAAATAAAATCTTAAAAAAAAATGTGATCTCATAATTAAATAATCATGGAACTTGATTTTGGGAGCTAATAAAGAGTGCCCTCCTGTATCTAGTGATAGCTGTAAGTGGATGTAACTGAGTTTATTTAGTGAAGACAGGTTCAGTATTTTTATTGTGATTTTTCTCAAGATCTGACAGTAAGTCTTCAAATGCCATAATGATTTGTGTCTCAAAATTCCTAGAATGGATTTGGAAGACTACTTGATAAAAAACACCATTTTGTTAGCTAGTCTCCTAGGACCAAGTGTTTTTGATGATGGTGATTTAGGGTAGGCTGTTTCTTTGTTCTCTTTTGACACGGCTAGAAGGAAGAACACTTACTGTCAAGAGGGCAAATGTTGAAAAACTGAAGTGTATAGATGGCTAACAAAGTTGTCTACTTTTTGCAAGTATTGCCCCATCTTCTGTGAATCTAAGTCAATCTTAATTCAAACGATGATTTATATTTTCAATAAGAATGCCAAGGAAAGTTTTATCTTGTTATATTTTTTAATGGGTTTGGATTTTCTTCTTTTGTACGGAATAACTTAAGACTTGTCCATTTTCAGTTTTTAAATCTCCCTCTGGTGATTTAAATTATTCTCACTTTGGCTGTACTTTAGTTACCTTTCGCTTGAAAGTTTTTTGTTTTTTTTTTTTTTAATGTAAACTGTGCAGTGACTAAAACTAAAACAACTGGGCAGGAGTGGATGTAAGATACATTCTGACAGGGTAATAGTGATTTATGTACTTGGACCAGAGAGCTGGTGATGATTTCTGTCTCACTTGATCATTTTCTTTGATTGGTAGGTTTCAGGTGCCTGTGTCAGAGGGAGAGCCTTACTGTTTGTTTAATTTTGAACAGTTGGATGTTGGAAAATTAATTTAGCATTTAGAACTTAGTAAATGATTCTCTGAGTGATACAGAATGTCAGAGGCAAAAAACAAAGCAAACAACATAAGTCGGTTTCAGTTCAGTAGTGTGTGAATTAAATATTATGTTTAAGCAAGAACATTCCAAAGTGGCTTCCTTGGAGCATGAGTTTTATACAGTGTTAGTAGATATTCTGTGAAGAAAGAGTTTTTAGTTACCTGCGTTGAGAAACCCTAGAATAAACGATATAAATCAGATTGCTTTAGGGCTTCTCAGAGCCTTTAATATTTATATACACAACTAATGAATTGTTAAACATTACATCAGAAACTAATGATGTGCTATATGTTGGCTAACTGAACATAATAAAAAAAAAAGACTTCCTAAAATCACACAAAAGAATTTATTTGCATGTTCATTGTGAATTACTCAGGAATGAGGTACAACAGGCAGCATTTCTGAAACATTTGTGGTATTCTTTTTTCTTAGAGCATCTTGCAGGGCTAATATTCTGTAGAACAGATTGTAGAAAGGATGTAAGGACCATCTGGCTGTGACATCTGTCACCCCACTGATCGTCGCCAGGGTTGATTGGCTGATCTGGCTGGGTGAGTGTTGCCTTCCTCCCTCACCACTCCAGGTGCGTCCCTTCCAGACTGAAGTTTACCTTGGGACACTGAGCACTGGGGATGAGCTGTTCTACCAATCACTGACTTGCAGCATTGTATTTGCAAGTCAGAACATAGGGAAGAACTGAAAGGTTGATTGATAAGAGGAAAAATAAGACAAAGTTGTTTTGTTGAAATAGTCAGTATTATTTGATTTTGAAGAGGTCATAAGTGCCTTAATGTTTTTTTGAGCTTGTTAAAAGGAAACTGAGGTGCTGATATGTATTACCTGTTTAGTCCAAATTATTTCCAGTTCACCGTACCACATTTTCCCCATCTATAGAAAAGGGTTTATACATTGAATTTTAGAGCTTCCAGACTTAAAAAAAAAAAAAAAAGATTTTACTTATTTGACAGAGCTAGAGAGAGCACAAGCAGGGGGAGTGGCAGGCAGAGGGAGGAGAGGGAGAAGCAGGCTCCCCATTGAGCAGGGAGTCTGATGCGGGACTCGATCCCAGGACCCTGGTATCATGACCTGTGCCGAAGGCAGACACTTAACCCACTGAGCCACCCTAGAGCTTCCAGAACTTCTAACAATCATTTCATCCTACTTTTAAGGATGAGAAAGCTAAAGGATAGGGATATTACGTTACTCAGTGAATAGCTAGTTTATGGAAGGGTTTAGATTGGAATTCAGGTTCCCTGATTCCTAGTTTAAAATTTTTTCCAATGCAGTTTGTACCTTTCCAGTGTGGCAGTAATCTCTGTCTCTTTCTCTCTCTGTATTGTAGCTTTGGAGTTTACCTCTCTAGGGGATTTTGTCTTTAGCATAGTTTCTTCAGTTGTACATGTTACTCCATAGTTGTCACTGATACTGATTTCTAGCCTGTGATCATGCCCCCGAAAATGATGGCATTTTAAACTCTGGCAATACATGAATTGTAATTGATT